CCTTACCTTACCTTACCTTACCTTACCTTACCTTACTTTACCTTACCTTACCTTACCTTACCTTACCTTACCTTACCTTACCTTACCTTACCTTATCTTACCTTACCCTACCTTACCCTACCTTACCCTACCCTACCCTACCCTACCCTACCCTACCCTACCCTACCCTACCCTACCCTACCCTACCCTACCCTACCCTACTTTACTTTATCTTACCTTACTTCTCCTCTCCTACAGTCCTTCGTAAAGCTCAATAAATTGGAATTAATCGTCGCCCGGCGAGCACGAAAGATCGATCCAAACCTTTTGTTGTTTGCTTGCTTACTTACTTGCTCAAGCGAGATACCTACGTTTCGTTTAATACATATATGCGAGTATGAGTTTACGTTGACGTCTCAATTTTGTATGTCCATACTCTTTTCTTTTAATCATTCGAATCGCAAATTTATTCATTCATAATGATCTTTGATCAAATACTTGAATCAAAAAAAGTGGGCGGAGGAAGGAAAATTAATTTAAAAGTGGGGATATCAGTTAAGGTCACGTAACAGGTTCACCAAAAAATATTAATGAAACTTGTTTGGAGACTATTCGCTTAGTTTTTAATTAAAATTATGCAAATCCATGATTAATGATGCAGACCATCGTCCGATTTCAGAGGTGATCGTTGAATATGTAATTGTGATACCGAAGTAAACAGAGGAGAAAGGAGAGAATAAAAGAGAAGAGAAGGAGAAGGAGTGAAAAGAGGTAGTTCATAAAAGAGAGTAAGAGAGAGAGAGAAAGAGAGAGAGTGAAAAAGGATGAGAGTTGTGTTCGTATCTGAGTAAGATTCCTTTCGGGATATGAACGTCACGAAAGTTCTTCGCTTTAAAGGTTAAGAACGAAAACTTTTGCGCCATCATTTTGACGTAACAAATCACCTGAAGACCCTTTAATTTCAGCTTGAAATATATTCCTTACAAGGATAACGTGAAAGACGAAAAAAAAAACATATAAAAGGAAAAAAAGATATAATTATTAAAAAGGCATCATCGATCCTCGAGTCCGAAGTGTTAGGAAATAAACGTCTCCCATTTTATGGGAATAAAATTGCAATTGTTACGCTTGAATTGTCATTAACGTTGTACCACTATCTTACGAGGGGGGAAAAAAGTTTCTGCATCGGAGAAGCACAGACAATGGCCACTCCTTTGTTGTTTCCTGCGAATAATCGAACAAAAATGTGAATGGGGGAAAAAGGAGAAAAATTGAGAATGAGTAAAAGAGAGAAAGAGAGAGGGAGAATCATGCGTACGTACATCCAAGTATATAGGAGCAACTCGCCAATCTGAAATTCATCGATCACGCGCTTTTTCAAACCACATAGAGGAGGAATAATTGCGATATTCTTCATCAAGTCAAAGCCATTGTTCGATTATTGAAAGCCTCGTCGTCGTTCTACTAGAAACGTTTCGGAATTCATAGAGTATATATATACTCACTCTCGACTCAGTTTACTGTAAATAGACTGTCCATCGTATGACAAAGAATGAAATTACAACTACGTCTCTTTGCCTTTTTTCCTCACTTCTTCTTTCTTTCTCTCTCTCTTTTTATTTTTTTTTTTTCTTATTCTTTATAATATCATCGAAGAGATAGAACAAATTGTTGGATTTCAAAACATTTCTTTTTTTAACAGTTTTATTAAATGATACATCGATGATTTGTTTCCTTTTGTATTTTTTTTTTTTTTTCATTCATTGAGTTGAAACAGTCAATGCATGATCTCCGAATATATGTTTTAATAATCGAATCGAGTTTGACGAGATAAATATTCGATTCGCAATTTAAACGTATAATATACACGTGTGTATATATCTGTGTTGGTACGATATATAAAAGAAAGGGGCGTACTAAGCGGATGTATCCACTCCCGGTGGAATAAAATAGCCTGCATAATATCGCTTTATTTCCGTTTACCTCTATTTCAATGGCGGTTTTACAATGTTCGTTAGAAGATAAACGTATATGGTTCTTTCCTAGTGCATTGTCTTCGCGTAAAACATTAAGTATAACCAGATTATGTATTATTTAACTAGCAACGTATTTTCGTATTAATATTAGAAGTTTTATTTTTCTTCTTTTTTTGTCTTTTTGAAAAATGTAGATTATCTTTTTTTTGTAATTCATTTCTATGTGCTTATTTCCGATCGGAATTACGCTCAAAGAGATACATATGTTACAATTACGTTCATCTTTCTTTCTATCTCTCAAATTTCTTGAGAATTCCAAAGATATAAATGGAATCGACAAACGTGCATAAGAATGGCTTCGATTATTCGAATAATCCTTTAAACTGATTAATCAGCTTCCCGCTGGAAAGATAGTAGATAAAATACGAGTGGTTTATTGTTGTATAATGCATTTAATTTAAAGTACCGATTGTATAATTCATGAGTTTTTCGGTTGGATGAATAAAACAGTAGGATTTTCAGAAAACAGTTTGGGCGGCCTCTCTCTCTCTCTCACACTTTCTCTCTCTTTCTCTCTCTTTTTTTGTATCTACCTATCTATCTATTTATCTCTCTCTCTCTCTCTCTCTTTCTTTC